GATTAGGATATCTGAAAGTTTAAGGGACAGTCAGAAGAGTCTTCACAAATGTTTACATTTTTGTATCTGTTGTTTTTTCTTCTCTTCTTCTTCTTCTTTTTTTTTTTTTTAGAGACAGAGTCTCACTTTGTCACCGTGGGTAGAGTGCTGTGGCATTACAGCTCACAGCAACTTCCAGCTCTTGGGCTTAGGTGATTCTCTTGCCTCAGCCTCCCAAGTAGCTGGGACCATAGGTGCCTGCCACAGCACTCAGCTATTGTTTTGTTGCAGTATGGCTGGGGCCAGGTTTGAACCCACCACCCTCTGTATATGGGGCCGGCGCCCTACTCACTGAGCCTCAGGTGCCACCCCAGTGGTTTTCTTAATACAATCCCAGGAGACCTAGAGGAATAGAAATTCCATAATTGAAAAAATTGAGACATGGTGTGCTCTCACCTAGCAGACACAATGTAGGGGCTTATGACACAACTCCTGGGTGAGGGACACAACTACAACTTGTACTCTACCTGACATCCACAGACAATGTATTCTAACCATCTATGCCCTAATATTAATCTGAACTTCAAAACAAATTAATAAATTTTAAAAGGAAAAGATTGAGGCATAAGAAGACAAGACTTAAAGAGCTCAGACTATGTCCCTTGATGATCATCTTTCTTTCCCAGTGCCTTGCATGTAGCGCCTTGCATACAGCCAGTCCTCAACAAGGCTGCTGACTGTGATGGTTAATGATGATGATCATGCCTCATATTTCTCTTCTCTCAATTCTTTGCTACTACTTTGTTCTCCATAGTCCCAGCTACTTCTGGATTTGAAACCATACAGAAGTCTGGCTCATCTAGTAAAGAGTTCTTTATGAGGCCGTTGAGAGGGTATTTGGTAATTGCCTTCTATAGTAATGATGGTGATAACTTCAAATGATGATAGCTCTACCCCCTAGCACATACATTGTCAGACCTTTTTAAAGTTGGAGAAGTGTATTCCTAAAATATTACCAATTATTGCATAAAAGAAGCATTCTTTATTCAGATTGTTGGGAAAATACTGGGTGAAACAAAATTGAAACAGTTTAGGTTGATGCATTTTATTTTTGTAGGAATTCTCAGGATCTTTAAGAATCTTCATACAAATGTGAATCCTGAATTTCCAAGGAGGAAGGGTGATAATATATGGAGAGTAGCCTAAATGTAGTTGACTGTAAACTCATTTATTCGTTGAATGTCTTTTTTTTTTTTTTTATTGTTTGGGGATGCATTGAGGGTACAAATAATTAGGTCAGATTCATTGCATTTGTTAGATAAAGTTCCTCTTATACTGTGTCCCACCCCAACCGGTGTGCCATACACTGTGACCCCCATCCCCCTCCCCTCTCCCTGCTACCTCATTCCTCTACCCAACCCCTTGTTTTAGCTCATCTACTGCCTTCATATTAGAATTGAGTACATTGGATTCTTGATTCTCCATTCTTGTGATGCTTTACTAAGAATAACGTGTTCCACTTCCATCTAGGTTAATACAAAAGATGTAAAGCAGTGGTTCTCAACCTTTCTAATGCTGCAGTCCTTTAATACAGTTCCTGTGGGTCGCGACCCACAGGTTGAGAACCGCTGATGTAAAGTCTCCATCTTTTTTAATGGCTGAAGAGTATTCCATGTTATATATGTATATAACACAGCTTACTAATCCATTCTTGGGTTGGTGGGCATTTAGGCCGTTTCCACATTTTGGTGATTGTAAATTGAGCTGTGGATAAACAGTCTAGTGCAAATGTCCTTATGATAAAATGATATTTTTTCTTCTGGGTAGATGCCTAGTAATGGGATTGCAGGATCAAATGGGAGGTCTAATTTGAGTTCTTTGAGGATTCCCCATACTTCCTTCCAAAAAGGTTGTATTAGTTTGCAGACCCACTTGTAAAAGTGTTCCCTTCTCTCCACATCCATACCAGCATCTGCAGCTTTGAGACTTTGTGATGTGAAATGTGGGCCATTCTTACTGGGTTTAGGTGATATCTTAGGGTAGTTTGATTTGCATTTCTCTGATGATGAACATTTTTTCATGTTTGTTACTCATTTGTCTGTCTTATTTAGAGAAGATTCTATTCATGTCTCTTGCCCAGTGATATAGGGGATTGTGGGGTCTTTTTGTTGATTAATTTGAGTATTCTGTAGATCCTAGTTATCAAGCTTTGGTCTGATGCGTACTATGCAAATATCTTTTCCCATTCCGAAGGTTGCCTATTTACTTTGGTTGTTGCTTCCTTAGCTGTACAGAAGCTTTTCAGTTTAATTAAGTTCCATTTGTTTATTTTTATTGTTGTTGCAATTGCCACGGAAGTCTTCTTCATAAAATCTTTCCCCAGGCTGATATCTTCAAGTGCTTTCCTCACACTTTCTTCAAGGATTTTTATTGTTTCATGCCTTAGATTTAAATCTTTGATTCATCCTAAATCTATTTGTGTAAGTGGTGAGAGGTGTGGATCTAGTTTCAGTCTTTCACATGTGGTTATCCAGTTCTCCCAACACCATTTATTGAATAGGAATTCTTTTCCCCAGTGTATGTTCTTGTTTGGTTTATCAAAGATCAGGTGGCTATAAGATACTAGTTTCATCTCATGGTTTTCTATTCAGTTCCAAATGTCAATCTCTCTCTCTTTTCTTTTTTCTTTTTTTTTTTTTTGTAGACAAAGTCTTATTTTATTGCCCTTGGTAGAGTGCCATGGCATTACACAGCTCACAGCAACCACCAACTCTTGGGCTTAGGCGATTCTCTTGCCTCAGCCTCCCGAATGTCTCTATTTCTGTGCCAATACCATGCTGTTTTGGTCACTATGGCCTTGTAGAATAGCCTAGAGTCTTGTAGGGAGATACCCCTGGCTTTGTTTTTATTACTAAGAATTTCCTTTGTAATATGGGTTTTTTTCTGGTTCCATATGAAAGGAAGAATTATTTTTTCCAAATCTTGAAAGTATGATGATATTTGAATGGGGATTGCATTGAATCTGTAGATTGCTTTGGGAAGTTTAGACATTTTGACAGTGTTGATTCTTCCCAGCAATGAGCATGGGTTCTTCCATTTGTTAGTGTCTTCTACTATTTCTTTTCTTAGGGTTTTGTAATTTTCTTTGTAGAGGTCCTTCACTTCTTTTGTTAGGTATATTCCTAGGTATTTCTTTCTTTCTTTCTTTCTTTTCTTTTCTTTCTTTTTTTTTTTTTTTGATGTTACTGTGAAGGGAATTGTGTCTTTGATTAGTTTCTCATTTTGGCTATTATTGGCATATACAAAGGCTACTGATTTGTGGACATTGATTTTATATCCTGAGACATTACTATATTTTTTGATCACTTACAGGAGTTTTGTGGTTGAGTTTTGGGGGTTCTCTAACTGTAAGATCATATCATTGGCAAAGAGTGAGAGTCTGACCTCCTCTGCCCCCATTTGGAAGCCCCTTATTTCCTTTTCTTGCCTGATTGTATTGACAAGAACTTTAGCACTTTGTTGAATGAACATCTTTCTAATAGGATGATTGTAACAAAGAACAAACTTTGGGAAATGTTAAATATTCTTGAGGTTTCAGCTAAGAGTATGCAATACTACATTTGTTCTAAAACTGTTTTAAATGATAAGCGACCTTTCCTAGGGTTTGTTTCTTCTGTGTAATAGCTAAAACTGTGGCTCTTCTCATTGTTTATCATTTCAGGACTTAGGTGCTGTTATTTCTCAGTCTGAATTTCTCCAGATGGAGAAATCACAGGCTGTTCAGCTCTAACCTCATAGGTGAGTTGTTCGATTCTCATAATCATTTTAAATGTCCTGTTTCTAATCTACACGTTTTCACCATGCATGATGCTTATAGTGATGACTACTAGCATTTGTGTGCATACCATGGACCACTAACAGCTTTATATGTAACATCCTACTTAATTGTCATCACAACCCTATACCATACGTATTAATATTTCCATTTTACATGTGAGGAACACGAAGAAAGCTTAAGTAACTTTGCCTAAGAAAGTGGCACAATGTGGGAGGGGGAAAGTGGGGAGATTGGAGCTTTTTGTGTTCAACTTTTTACTGTTACCAGGCACTGTCCTTATGGTGTTGTATTTTTTAATCACTGCATGTGCTATCTCTCCACCCTTTAAGAACAGAGGCCTCCTGGCCCAGGCTTCAGTACAAACGCATGGCATGTTGTAGCCAATATTTTCTGAAAAGAGAGATCAAGCAGCTTGCCCAAACCATTGGGGAAGGAGATGATGGACCCGCGTTTTGAAGCCATCTCCCTTACTGCATCCATCACATTTTATAGATTTCCTCCTCCAGACCTGGGCAGTACACCAGGTGGGTTCTCCCTCTCTTTTGAGGTCATGCTCATTTGGCTTTTGAGCCTCCCAAATGTGGAATTTTGCCCACCCCCACTACCGTGTTCATTCTGCAGCCCCCCACCTCCAAACGGACAGGTCTTAAACCTAGTGAACTAAACTTACCCATAATGAATGAAAGCAAAAACCTACTTTTGTCCGTTTTGATTGGTGGTGTTAGGACCACACCAACCCAGCACTCCCTTTTGGGGAGCCCTTCTAGGTTGCGAAATCTCTCCTCTTAAGATAAAAACACCAGGACAACCTCGAGGGCGAGGGCACGTGGCTGCTGTCTTAGTGCGACCCGCGCCCTCCTCCACCGGCTGAGCGGTTAGCCGGACCCACCACCTACCGTCAGGGGTTGAAAGCATCAGACCGTCTCTTAGAAGGACCCCATGTCCCCGTGCCGTGGAAGCGGCAGGCTCCGGTGCCCCACAACGATCCGCAGTGGAGGCTGCGGCGCCCACCCCAGAGAGCAACCAAAATCCCCACGGGCCATTGGGTCGTGGATGGCTGGACCCCACCTGGTAAAGGCTTTAGCTACCACGTCCCTTTTGTGAACCTGGCGTCTATGACAGTCTGGCACCGCCCCGCTCCAACATCCTGGCCAGCTGGAGCCACTTTTTCTCACATGGGTTTCCTCTAGATGTCATCATGTCAGGTTCAAAGGGCGCTGCTGAAACCCCCCACAAGAAAGCTCGGACGTCTCCGTACCCTGGTTCTAAGGTGCAGCGAAGCCAGGTCCCCACCGAGAAGGTGAGCTGGCAGGTGGAGTGGGCAGAATACAACCCCGGGGAGTACACCGCCAGCTCTGTCTTAGCCGGACCTGTGTGGGCAGATCCCCAGGTGGGTGAAAGAAACTTCTCTCCTAAATTTAATGAAAAGGATGGGAATGTGGAGAGAAGGAGCCAGTTCGGTTTATATGAGGTTGAGAACGGGAGAACCAGGAATCCCATGGGTCGGACTGGGCTGGCTGGCCGAGGGCTTTTGGGTCGCTGGGGCCCCAATCATGCTGCGGATCCCATTTTAACCAGGTGGAAGCGGGACAGCCAGGGAAGTAAAGTTATCCACCCTGTTTCTGGGAAAGGCATCCTGCAGTTTGCAGCCATCAAAAGGAAGGACTGCGGAGAATGGGCAATCCCAGGGGGCATGGTGGACCCGGGAGAGAAAATTAGTACCACATTGAAGAGAGAATTTGGTGAGGAAGCCATGAACTCCTTACAGAAATCCAGGGCAGAAATGCAGGAGTTGGAGAAACAGCTGAACAAACTATTCAGCCAGGAGCATTTTGTGGTTTATAAAGGCTATGTGGATGATCCTCGGAACACCGACAACGCCTGGATGGAGACAGAGGCTGTCAACTACCACGATGAAACAGGTGAAATGATAGACCAGCTCCCTCTGGAAGCGGGTGATGACGCCAAGAAAGTGAAGTGGGTGGACATGAACGATAGACTTAAGCTTTATGCCAGCCACTCCCAATTTATTCAACTTGTGGCGGAGAAACGAGGTGCCCACTGGAGTGAGGACCTGTATCCTGACAGCCACAGATAGTGTCTTGGCGACTCTGGGGAGCCAAAGGCCTTCAAAGGAGCAAGAGTGGATAAGAAACTAACAGCGCAGAACTCCCACCATAAAAGGACAGGGAGGGTCCATTTTTTTGATGATTATTTCCCAAAGTGTGCAGAGTATGAAGACTTGTCAGAAAATATTAGATAAACCTGGGGGAATGAGATTGCAGAATTTTTGGCTTTCCAGTTGAAAGAGACAGTCATGAGTTGTATATGTTGTATTCGTGATTTAAACCAATTAATGTTCTTTGACAAATTGTATGTAAAACAAAGGTATCTTCTTTACCCACCGGTCTCTACTTCTGAGCCAGTTTGCATTTGTTACTTCTTTGTTCCTCGTGATATGTTAATATGGCCTAATCTAATCTGTCATCTGACTTTGGGGGGTAATACTTATTTTCCAAATGTAGCTTTTTGTGATCTTGTATTTGTTGCTTTGGGGTATGGACGCTCTCTGGGCTTTTTTCCTTTAGAGCTTTCAGTTTTATGGAAAAAGTTCAATCTCTATTTTAGTTCTCAGGGATCAATTACTTATGAACCAGATCCCTTTCACCCCCCCCCAAAAAAAAGAGAGAGTGAAAGAGAAAGATAGAAATGTAGTGACAAAATGATCCAACCCTCTGGCTTGGCGCCTGTGGCTCAAGTGGCTAAGGTGCCAGCCACAGGTGGCCAGTTTGAATCCAGCCCGGGCCCGCCAAACAACAATGATGGCTGCAACCAAA